TCTGTTTGAGATCTTTGCTGGTTCCATTATGAACTTTAGGATTGCTTTCTCCAGTTCTATAAGAAACGTCGTAACGGTTACGCATACTGCCAGTTTGTTAGTCCTCCCCTTGCAGGAACAGCGTATCTTTCTATTTTGTGAGATCTTCGATCTTCTTTTTCACAACACTAGTTTTCACTATAGAAGTCTTTCACTTCCTTGGTTAGATTAATTCCTAAGTATTTCATTTTTCTTGGTGCTATTGTAAAAGGTGTTGTTCCCTAGTTTTCTTCTCAGTGAGTTTGTTACTGATATGTAGGAACATACTGACTTTGGCTGTCTTTGACTTTAAAACCTGCTGTGTTACAGAATTTAGTTAGTAATTGCAGGAGTGTTTCAGTGGAGTTTTTAGGGTCTTATATATAGAGGATCGTGTCGTATGAGTAACGATAATTTAGCTTTTCCATCTCTGTCTCTTTTCTTCTTTTCTCTTGCCTAATTGCTCTAGCTGATGCTTCTAGAACTATGTTGAGCAAAAGTAATAATAGTGACATCCTTGGTTTTTTTTCTAATTTAAGAGGGAAAACTTTTCCGCTTCTTGCCATTAAGTATTGTATTAGTCATAAGGGTCTTTTATAGTGGATGCTGAATTTTATTTTTTAAATTAAGTTTATTGGTGCATTTTAGCTACACATAATATATTCTTCATAGAGAATTTGTATGTTTTCATGATATATTTTGTGGATGCTGATTTTATCAAATGCATTTTCTGCTTCTGTTGAGACAATCGTATGGTTTTGTCCTTGTTTCTGTTTACGTGGTGAATTACAGTTCCTGACCTTAATATGTTACACCATCTCTGCATCCCTGGAATGAGTACTGTTTGGTTATGTACATGATGTGGTGAGGATTTGCTGCCTTCTCTTTGCCAGGATCTTATGAAGGAGCTCTGCTTCTCTGTTCATTAAAGAGGTTGGTCTAAAATTTTTTTTTTTTTTTGGTACCAGGATTTGAACTCAGGACCTTGTGTTTGCCAGGCAGGGGCTGTGCCACTGAGCTATATTCCCCATCTTGTTACTGTCATTTTTTGGTTGGGTCTTTTTCTGATTTTGGAATCAAGGTAATGCTTGCTTCCAGGAATAACTTTGGAAGTACTGCTTCTCTATCAACTTCATTAGTTTAAGGAGTATTAGCATTAGAAGTTTACTCATGTGTTTATAGAAATCAGCAGTGAATCCATCAGGACCCAGGATTTTCTTGATTGGTAGTTTTTTTAATCTACTCTTTTGAGTTTCCCTGACTGATACTGGTTTATTTAAAAATGTTTTGCTTCCCTGGTTATTTTTATTAGTTTGTATGTATTTGAAACCCGTTTCTCTGAGTTTTCCATTTTATTGGAGTACAGATTCTCAGAGTAGTTGCTGATAATCTTCTGGATCTCCACCCTTCATTTCTAATTGCATGGTTTGGGTCTTTCCTTTTTTAAATGACTTAACAGTTCGCCTCGACTGGTTTTGTTCAGTCTTTCAAAGAATCAATTCTTTGAGTCATTGATTCTTTGTATTTTTTGTCTCAATTTTATTAACTTCTGCCCTCATCTTTATCATTTTCTCCCCTGTACTAGCTTTGGGTTTAAATTCTTCTTGTTTTTCTAGGACTGTTAAGCGAATCATTAGGTTATTTATTTGACCCTGTTCTGTTTTCCTAGAGTGGACATTCACTGCTATAAACTTCCCTCTTATAACTGCTTTCATTGTGTCCACAAATTCTGGTATGTCTTATGGGTATTATCATTTGATTGTAGAAACGGTCTAAAATCTCTTTAATTTCATCTGTGACCCAGTGATTATTCAAGAGGATATAATTTAATTTCCATGTGTTTACATAGTTTCTGTGGTGTCTTGCCATTAATTTCTAGTCTCACTGCAGTATGGCCCAGTAATATGTATGGAATAATTCCAGTTCTTTTGCATTTATTTAAGCATGCTGTATGAGCTAGTATGTGGTCTAATTTGGAGAAAGTCCTGTGTGCTGCTGAGAAGAATGTGTATTCTTTCTGGTTGGTCGAGATGTTCTGTAAATAAATACCTGTTAGGTCCCTAATGTTCAGGGCTTTGGTTCAGTTCTGGTATTGGTTTATTGTTTTTTTTTTTTTTTTTTCTCACCTAGTTGGTCTGTCTCTCTGTGATAGTGGGGTACTGAGATCTTCCATTAAAACTATGTTGGTGCTTGTGTTGTTGAGTCTTCAGTTCTTGTGTGTTCTGGATGTTAATCCTTCACAAGGTGAATGATTTGCAAATGTTTTCTCCCATTCTGTAGGTTGCTTCTTATTCTATTCGTTGTTTCTTTTGCTATGGAGAAGCTTCTTAGTATCAAGTTTCATTTGATCTTTTTGCCTGTGCTTTTGGGGTCTTATCATAAAGGTATCCTGATATCTCAAAGGTTTTCCCTGTTTTCATACACACTGTTGGTGGGTATGTAAATTAGTATAACCATTGTGGAGAACAGTAGAAGGTTCCTCAAAGTAAAAATAGAACTACATATGGTTCAGCAGTTCTACTTCTGAGTACATATCCAGAGGAAATGAAATAAACCTATGAAGAGATACCTGCATTCCAGGGTTTATTGGGGTTCTGGTCACAGTGTCTATCCAAGTCATAAAATCAGCCTAGGGTGCCCATCAAAGGATACATAAAAAAATATGTTCTGTAAATACAAATATAGGCACAATGAAATATTTTTTTCAGTCATAAAAAATTAAATTCAGTAAATTGCAGCAAAAATTGATGAAACTAGAGGAGCTTATATTAAGTGAAATAAGCCAAATGAAGAAAGATAAATGCGGCACCAGGCTCTCCCCCCAGTGGAAGTTTTCAGACATTTATCTGATAGCGGAAGAATGATCACTTCAGGTTGGGAGGAAGGTTGATAATGGACCGCAGCACAGGTAACAGTGAGCTCTGGGTTCCGCAGTAGAGGACTCGCTCACAGCAGCCGCTGGGTGCTGTGCGGACCTAGAAATGAAGCCCGAGAGGGTCCCAAACATAAAAGAAACACGAATTTGGAAACGTTCATTACTCTGCCTTGTTGTCTGTGTGTTGAAAATCGCTGTGCTTCTTAAAGGCTATGCGTTACTATGTGTTAAGATGAAGGTCTTTATGCTTGTTATGCAGATTTGTGAAATGGGACACAAAGATCAGTATCAAGATTGATAATTTGGACTTTAAAAAGTACTTCATCACAAAAGGAGGTTTAAACTGAGCATGGTAGCCTACACCCCTAATCCCAGCACTCTTACCAGCCTGAGGGAGGGAGATGGGAATCTCAGACCCAGCTGGGCAACTTGGCAACTTAAGACCATCTCAAAATCAAATTCGGTGCAGAGGCTCTGGGTTCAGTTCCCAGTGAGGGTAGCACTGAAAGAGGCCAGGAAAGACAGGTCTGCAGTGTGCAGGCACCTCAGGGGACTCAGACCTGGAGTTACTGTTAAGGGACGCAGTGACAGAGTGTTTCTAAACTGCAGAAGGCCGAAGCAGGCGTCTTTGAGGCATCCGGGTGGAAGGAGCTCATCAGATAGCGCTCAGAACTGCTGGTACCTGAGGACACCGTGTGCGCCTGCCTCAGTGAGTCACCCGCATACAGTGCCTGCGTTAGAGCGGTGTGAGTGTGACTTCCTAGAACGAATTTGGAAACCTGTCAGTCAGCATCTGTCAGAGCAGTTCTGCTCTTGAGCAGAAACCCAAAGAAAATCATTGCTTAGTTCCTCAAAAAGAAGTTTATTTCCTCAGGCATTATGTTCTCAAAAAGAAGTGTGTTTTTAAAATGAGAATTTTTAAACTCTTAGAATGCTAAATGAATATTTGAGTGCAAAGTGATTTTTAAGTAATAAATTGGAAATACTGGTAGCTGTTGTATTCTGTGTTTTATGTTGTTTAACCAGAAATTCTGTCGAAATAAAATCTCTCCTTACCTAACTTTATGTTATGCCCTCAGAAAGTATACAGAAGAGATTGTTTTTAATTTCTGGCTTTTTTTTTTTTTTTGGCTTTTAATTTTTAACTTTTGGCTTTTTTCCTGTTCCTGTGGATGCTTTTTTAGTAAAGAGGAATTTTAAAGAGAGTTAAAAATGTATTTCTACTTTTACTCCTTGGCCAGCACAATTCTCATCAAGTTAGTCCTGAATCTTTTTCTTTTTTTCTCCAGTACTAGGGATTGAACTCAAGGCTTCCGTACTAAAATAGACCACAGCTTTCATTTTTTCTTTTGGAGACACAGTATTGCTCAGCCCCCATGCCTTGCCTCTGTAGACATCCCTTGTTGAGTGAACACGTTACGTTCCTACAATTAGGCCATTAAATGCATCGGTCACTAAATGAGGAATTTTATATAGTGTGTACATTACAATATTGAGAACAAAGAAATGTTCAAGGGAAACTCCATCTTGATGACTTCTGCTTTTATGTGCATAACTCATAGTAACTTATGTAACTTTTAGGTGCAGTACTATAACTTATAAAGGAATAAAACTATAGTGCTGTACTGTGCAGAACAATCCACAAAAGTTACACTACTGTATGGCAAGGTGTACTATACAGAAAAGACAGCAAGGCTTTGTAAACAAGATACACTAACCTGTTGGGGGAAAAAAAAAACCTGGGATAAGTCTAAACAGTTGTTAAACAGCCAAGTTGGAACCTGCGTCCTTACTTATAAAAGCTGTTTAGCCACTAGATGTCACTACAGTTCAAGTAAGGGATATCTCAGGACTGAAGGGGAGCAGCTTCAGGAGGACTGATTCAAATTCTTAATTTTGATAAATAATGGTTGGTTTGCATTCATACTTTTATTAAGCCTGTGGAAGTTTGGATGTGAGATGACAGACGTGTGTGGTTTGCTTTTCTTGAAGTAAACTAAAAGGCACCACTATGTAGCACAGTGGTTTCCAGTGGATCTCTCTTCTGCTGCATCGCACAGGATTTCATCTGGTGCCTTTTCTCCCATCCTCCCTCCTGCTCCTCCAGGTCCAGCCTGGCGAGGGAAACAAAGCCGCCTTCAATGACATGCGGGCGCTGTCGGGCGGCGAGCGGTCCTTCTCCACCGTGTGCTTCATTCTCTCCCTGTGGTCCATTGCAGAGTCACCCTTCAGATGCCTGGATGAGTTCGATGTCTACATGGTATCGTTCAGTGTTAAATGTTTGAATTTGTTTGTTCGTGTGAAATCTGTTCTGGCAAGGAAGCAAAACTTTCTTTTCTTTAGTTTTAACCATAGCAGGAAAGTTTCTACCCTGACACTGTGGGGTGAGTGGGATGGGTGGGCTGAGTGGTGGGCAGACCCCAGAGTCCTGAGTCTTATAGCAGCCAGGCTGCTCTCGGTCTGGCATCCTGTCCAGGTGCTCAGATGAAATCCGCCCTCCATTCACGAGTCCAGGAGTGGGTGCACTCCCTGCCCTCACACCGTGCTTCTCAGAGCACTGCAGGCAGCGTGGGCTGAGATGCGCCGCTCTGCTTACCCACAGCCTTCAGCCAGCACGCGAGCTTTGCAGCCACAGCTGCTGTGTGTCGAGGACGGGACTGAGCGCCGCACAGCCCTGATGGTGTCAGCTGCTCTTTTCCCCGCTCCAGTGAGGGTGGCTTCCTCAGGGCCATCGTGATTTCTGTTTTAAAATATTTGTTAGCGTGCTCAGCACCACAGACCTGGTTTCCGTCCTTAGAAAGAGTCACCTTAGCGGCTTCTACCCTCCACTTCCTGGCTCTGCCTGCCCGTTTTTCTCAGGCTGGCGCCTGCCTGCCTCACTCTGATGCCCTTCAGTGTGTGAGATTCTCTTTGGTTGTTAGGCAGTCATTGGTCTTCCTGAACGCTGCACCTTGGGCCTCTTCCCAGTACACACAGGCACACAACTGCCCTGACAGCCCCCTTTTGCGCCGAGCACCCCCTGCAGCCTGGCATGACCTGCAGTGCAAACCTTCCCTAGTGCCAGCTGCTCCAGCGCGGACTGCGAGCGTCCTCCTCTTGATTTCCCAGCTTGATCAGAAGCCAGCCAGATCACCTGGCTTCAGAGTGTGATTACCTGTGCCTGTGCCCCCTTTCACTTGTGCACTAAGGGCTGCCTGCGCCATTGCTTCTCTTGAGGGTTCCACACACCACTCCCCGACCATGCTCCCAGCTTCCATCCTGCTCCCCCTCCTCTCTGTCCTCTGCGAGCTCCAGTTCTAAAACAGGCTGGAGGTAGCTGCTGCACCCAGGCTGAACACAACTCTGTTTAGTGAGTGAGGCCTGTCACAATGTGGCGTCTGCTCTGCTGGCCTTCCTGAGCGGTCAGTCATTTTCTAGACGTGGCGCCTCTGATCCGGGCGTGCGTGCTGTCTTCCTCTGTGCACTGAACAGCTTACCTTTCCCCATGAGGCTCAGCTGTCACTTTCGTGGTGCTTTCCGTGGATATCACAGCCTATCACGCAGAAAGGTCTCCTCAGAGATCCTCAGTGCCACCTTCTGTTAGCGCATTGTAGTATTTTCTGTTCCATACTATAAAATATATATGGTGTTGGTTTTCACTGTTCCAGTCAGCTGTTTTCATGTCTGAGCCTCCCACCAGGTGGTAACCTTCTTGAGGCCTTCAGCCGTGTCTGCCTCCTGTTTATGTCTCCTGCCTAGCTTGTATAAACACGTAGTAAATACACATAAATTAGGATTTATGCTTGTGAGTGCTGTAAAACCCTGCCTTCCCAGCAGTCTTTCCCGGGGACGCACTATGGGAGGTGGGTTAGAATCTCCTCTGAGCCTCATAGACTGAGCTGGTTTACAGGGCACAGGAGAGGGCACTGCGCCCTGCAGTGTTGCTGTCTAGGTGCCACTGTGCAGCCTGCCACCCACTTCGTGTGTCAGATTTAATTCTGATCCGTTCCTTTGTCTTTTAGACAGTATGTCCAGAATTGGGGTCCTGATTGGAACATAGGTCACAGCATAGTTTCAAATAAGACCTTTAAAGATGTGTGTGCGTTTTAATTCTCAGAAAGTTTTGAAGGCATTAAGGAATAGTTTGATGTTATTTTTTACGTAACTCCAAATGTAAGCACAAGGTCTTACTTAGTTTCAGAAACTAGCTATCCCTAAGCACTGTTGTTTTCTGTAACTTCATCTGCTGTTTAACTTTAAAATTTAAGAGAGTCACCTATAAATTCAAGTTGGCTTCCATCATGCAAGCTGTAGAAGATAGAGAGGAAGGGCAGATCTTCTAAACATTGTCCTTAGTCATGGGTTTGAGACACTTATCACAGCTGAATTCCTGAGTAATTCAGCCATTGTATTCTAACTAGATGAATACTTTGTTACTTAGTTATACTGCTGTGTATCTTCTGATTAGTTTCACTGTTCCTCTTATTTGAGGGCCTTCATACAAATACTTTCACTGTGGAAATAACCTGGAAGATGAACTTACTCACTTACTTTTCCCTTCATGGTTTTTGGTATTACCTTTCTACATAGGAATTTCTTGACATCATAAGTAAAATGATGGGGGAAAATCCACGGTTTTGTGTCGCCAGCTGAATGCGGCTTTTATCAGACCTGACTTGAAAGAACACAGCACTAACTTTTGCCTTCGTTCTTCAGGATATGGTTAACAGGAGGATCGCGATGGATATGATACTGAAGATGGCAGATTCCCAGCGTTTCAGACAGTTTATCTTGCTTACCCCACAAAGCATGAGGTAACTTCTTAAATCTTGCTCTGAATACTTACAAAGTACATAAAAGGATGCAAATCCATTGTAGCTTTAGTTTTTAGATGCAGATAAATGAATGACTTCTTTACTGCTTTAACAGATACAGAGCTCCTTTTCTGGGTATTAAAGTTTTGCTTGTGTTATTTCTCTTCTGTAACTCAGGCAAGTTGACTGGAATACTACTGATTTGTTAGTATTTGTATTTTGAATTTGCTCCTCTGTGGTTATTATACCTGACCATTATGAAATAATTTTAGTAATTCTGTGTGGAATGAAACAACCCAGGATTTTTCTAATCTTGTCTCTTTTGGTGACTTACAGATGAGAGTCTTTTTAAATAAAGAGCTCTGTGCAGTTGTCAGCATTTACCAGGTGTCTGCAGTGTGTGGGGCTCTGCAGTGTGTTAGGTAGAGTTGATACTCTGTCTCTAAAGTGATGTGGTGGTGCTAGGGGACCTTAGTCTGTGATTAGGAATATTAGGCAGTGCCTTCCTGGCTAGAAAGGTGGGAGGTGAGAATAAATATAAATGCCAGACTGGTAATGTATGGTTTAGTAGGAAGTTAATGTTCAGCATGAAAGTACAGTATTTCCTTAATGCAAATTATATTTCTTCTAGAGCTCTTGATGTTAGTTGTACCCACTGTTAGCAAACAGCAAGCCCTTTAGACTTGTGTTTTAATGAGGTGTGGTGTTAGTGTTCTGGCTTTGGTTTTAGTTCAGTGGTGCCAGGTGTTACAGAAAGGCCTTCACATGCTGGCCAAGTGCTCTACCACTGAGCTGCTCCCAAAGCCAACAGGAGCATTTTTAATGGATAGACCCTTCTGGGAAATTTTTATCATTGATTTTGCTTCTTCTAGCTCTCTTCCTTCCAGTAAATTGATTAGAATTCTGCGGATGTCTGACCCTGAAAGAGGACAAACTACATTGCCTTTCCGACCTGTGACTCAGGAAGATGACGATGACGGAAACTGAACTGTGATTTAACATGGCTCTTCCTTGGGGGAGCATCTGTGAGAGGCAGGAATTCTGGCTGTTCAAGGGACTAAAACAAGTCTGGATCATGCCACAGTAAAATTAGGAGCTCCTGTCACCTGTCCACAGTGAGACATGGGAATCAGCTGGGAAAACCAAGTACAACCAGCAATGTAAAACCACTATTGCTTCTTTTGAGAAAAACCAGTTTTAGAGTGCTGGTTTTAAGTCTTTTTGAGTTTGTTTGGTTTTGAGGATTTTTTTAAACCATCTACTTTTATAGATTCTCTTTTGGAAATAACCTTTTATACATGTGTACATGTACATATCTGTTTAGTTCAGGTTCATTTCTATGGTATTTTGTAAAAACTAAAATAAAAGTTTGAGTACTGGTTTATATTTAGTTTTGCTTTTCCAGAGTATTACGTTGTATAGCCAAATGATCAAACACCAGAAGGGAGGGATTTCTCATTCTATAGAGTACGTCACCAGGGTGGTCTTGGGACACAAACTGGCTTACCGTGGATTTATTGTTCATCATGAGGGACTTACACAGGGCGTAAGTGGGCTCCTGCCTACAGGTAGTTTTTACACTAGAGGCAACTGTAGATTTGGACCGTAACTTTTCCTTGTATTTCATCAAATTTAGTAAGATGCTGTCTGTTTACGGTCCACTTGTGAAGCCCTGAGGCAGTCTCCACTGTGGTACTCTGGCTGGGTTGGAAACCCTCAGTTGGAGTCCGGGGCTCTCAGGTCGGGCTCTGCTGAGAGGACACAGGCCAGAGGGACCCCTCTAAGCAGGCTGGGCATCCGCAGTGAGCTTGTTGCTATGTGAGTCAGAGGCCACACTGCTGGGGGAGGAAGCACCGGAGGTCAGCTGTGGGCTCTTCCTGATTTTAAAGATGCTGAGAAGTGCTGCCTGGATGATCAGATATATTTTACCACTAAACATGGTATTTATGAACTTTTTTAAAGAAAGCATGACTAGGACATCTTCTGTATGTGTTGATCTAGGAGTAGTGCAAAACTTTTAAACATACACTGAATACCAAAAGTATTCCTTATATTACTAGCAATAAATATTAGAGTACATATTTATAACATTGAAAGGGGAAGTATTTCAAGATGTACCTTAAGAGTAGGGACATTTATGTTGCTATTGAGAAAAACTGGATTTTTGAGAAGACGGGAAACTTGTGCTTTCTAATGTAAGAATGTACAATAGTGCTGAGTGTTTTAAGCATTCTCCACTAGCCATACAACCCTAAGTTACACTTGTAACTCATTTGTATGAAAGGTATTCCGCATTCATGTGCTTTTCAAATAAAAACAAGAGTTTACCATCTGCATCAGTTTTCCTAGCTTGGGAGGTGCAGTGTGTTTGTGCTGGGTGTGAACGTCGTGCCCGTAACACATGTGGGGGCCTCAGGTGCCTGCCTGAGTGTCCCCTGCCAAGCCGAGCTGAGCAGAGCAGTGTCCACTGCTTTGGCAGAGCTGGTTTCCTCCGGTGTAAAAGTAACTTCGTCTGGTGTGCCAAATGGTAATGTTAGATGTAATAGAAGAATAAAAGGATTGTTCTTTTAAAACGTGTTAACTTCTAAAAATAAAACAAAAGTTACATGTATTAAAGTCATGGTTTAGTGAGTTGCAAAGCTAATAGTGACTAACTTGAGCCTTTCTATGACTCGTAACTCAGCCCCCAAAACAAGAAGGAGCTCTTCCTCTCAACCCTGCCTTCTGCATTCTTGGCCCTGGAAGTGATTAAAGTCATTCTCAGAGTAACAAGTGTGATAGGTTTGAATAAGCCAAGATGGCAGTTACTCAGCTCCTGAAGTTAATTAGCACTGATGATGGAGCCAATGCCTCTGCATCTACATTTTTTTATAAAAAGGACTGGTGGGGCTGCCAAGGTTTCCCTTCAGTCAGTGTCCAAGAGTGCGGTGGCTGGTGGCTCCCCTTCACCAGCTCTCATCCGCGAGCCCCATGTGGCCCCCTGGCCATCTTCACTGGCCCCTCAGAGCACGCTGCAGCAGCCCGGCTTCCCCATCTGCCCTCAGTCCTGACTCCCTGGGCAGCGTTTGTTCCTGGAGGTGGGGCTGTGCTGTCGGGTACCATAGTGTCTGAAGTGTTTATAGTAAGGTTCACCTGGCCACAGTGTGCTGGATGGGTGAGTGGAATCACATTTCGGTCTCTAATGTCACTTAATGACCCTAAAATGAGTATTTTGAAAAATATACTCAAGATGTGCTCGAATGAAGAATACAATGCTGCGCGCTGCCTGGCACAGTGGCCCCTAGTGACACAGAGCAAATGAAGTTTGATTACAGTTTAAAAATTCAGTTCCTCAGCCCCAGCAGGCCGCACTGACAGTACCGTGCAGACGGGGAGGTTTCTGTGGCCAGAGCCTGCCAGGCATGCCCCGAGCGGATCATCCTATTTCTAGAGTTCCTGAGGAATTGCCTGCTTTCCTAGAGTTTGCCCCATCTTTATATGTCAGTCTGGGAACAGACATTCCTGACGGCTTTGCTTGGAGGACACCCTCTGCCTGCTCCCCTCTGTGTGCTTCCCACACCATGGCCAGCTAGACTGAGGTGACGCACTGTGCAGGCCTTTCAGAGTGAGCTGGCTTCCTGAAAGAGGTTGCGTGCCCCTCGATTGTCCTGGGGCTGCCTAAAGGATTGGGAGAAGGCCTTTCTTATTACTGATTTTTAAATTCCGAAGGTGCATATTTAAGAGCAGATATAGAAAGCTGCCAGTTGCTGGCCCTTGACTGTTTTGACCATCTGTTTCAAATCTAAAATTATAAGAACTTGGGAGGAAAATCAAATGTTATAAATTTATTTGCTGTATCTGCTGACACCTTTTCAGAAGCCTTTGAAAACTCAAGCGAAAACAATACATTTCCATCTCTATACCTTTAATAAATAATGTCTCTGTATATGTAGATAGATATACTTAACTAATCATTTAGCAGGATTTTTAAGTTCTACACTGCATTCATCAAAAACAGCTCTTTCCAGGTTGGTAGGATGCAAATGAGGTAAGAATTAAGGCAAACCCAAAAGGCATGCAAACATAGTACACTGATACTTACTGATGATGCAAGCTCTGGTGTGTGGACAGACGGGCCAGGGGCAGAGGTATGGGCCTGCCCGGTACTACTGCACAGATAGTGACACAGCTCAGGGTTACGTTACATCACCAGGGGCCTCAGTGCTACTGTCACTTGGAGGTACAGCATTAGCAAAACAAGTACAGAAATCAGGTAACTGTAGCACATCTCTGCCAGGCTTCAGAGAATTATTTTTCATGAAATAATATTGCACATCACATTGTGGCAGGTTTTTATAATATATGCTTTTAAAATTCATTAGCAAATGACATTCTCATGCACACAGTGTTTCAAACACAAGAAGCAAGTCCATTTGTAGGTAGTCCAAGCAATGTGTGTGTGTGCGTGTGTGTGAGCGTGTGCGCGTGCACACGCAGCTGCAGGAGAACGTTGAGACGTGTGCAGTCCACACTGCTGGGATCAGCTCATTTCTGAATGTCGCACTGCAGGAGTAATACGATGGAAGGGTCGCTCTTTGCAGCTTCTTTGAACTCATCCAGTGTAATCTGGTCATCTTTGTTCTTATCCATCTTGCTGAAAATCTTGTCCACTCGCTGCTCAGGCGTGAGGCCGTCCTCATTCATTTTCATCATGATCACGGTGCCCACCATCTTGTAGATCGCCTTGAGGGAAAGGACATTGCAGATGTTGTTAACTGGAAACCCAGGAGGGCAGGACGCTGCTGTCAACCCCCTTTCCCCTGATGACCCTACTCGTCCTGCAGGACGCAGCCTCACTTTCCCCAAAGGAGGTTCCTTTCCTGTGCTCCAAGTTGCCATCACAACCCGTTCCACAACCACACACCTCTCTCACTCCATTACATTAACGCTTTGTCTTCCGTCCCTTCAAGAAGGTCTGGAGAAGCTAGGAGTGTTTCACTTTTGTAACTTCAGGGCCTTGGCACAACGCCTGGCATATAGTAGGTCTCCAATAATGTTGATAGGATTCTTAAGTCTGTTTAATTCACTGAGCATATTAGCATCGAGTAAAGTGGTGGGGAAAGATGTAGCTACAGCAAGCAAAAGGCAGACAGTAAAGTTGATGTGATAAGGGATTTAAAATATAGTTCAAAGGACTCGAGTCCTTTTCAGTGAGAAATGATCCACTTAAAGGTGTGTGAGTCTGCCTGTTACAAGTATTTAAGGTGATTCTGAGTGTCAGACTGAGGCAGTGGACAGAAGGGGCGTCTCAGTGGTGAGACAGGGAGTCATGGACTGGCACAAGTCCAGATGACATTCACCAGCATTGGCCTTAGGATGCAGGAGCAAAACATCGTTCTAACTAAAACGGATTTATAGTGTGTTAAACAGTCAAGCCAAGTGTACCATTTAAACTGACCTCCAAAAGATCAGTTCGGGACAAGTGTGTGAATTAGAGCTGGCAAATGGAAGAACAGTGAGAAGATCTAACTCTTTAGGTCATATTAGAATTACTCAATCCACAACTAACTCAATATGAACATTTTCTTGGTGAAAGTAATTTCTTTTCTTAGAAACGTGCCTTCCAAAGATGGAGGTCCACCTGCACAAATACGTGCATGAAAATGTTCACAGCAACATTAGCAACGACCCCCAGTGCTCACCCACTGCTAACAGATGGAATACGAAGTGTCTGCACAGGGGTGGTACGCTCGCAGCAACAAGGATGCCACGCTGACAAATGCTAGGACCTGGGTAAACCTCAGGGGAAGGGGGAGACGTAGTTGCCACTGCCAGACAGGATGGTGGTGCTTGTGTGATTCTGCTCGCATGGCATGTCCAGAAAGCCAGGTCCAGGAAACAAAGCAGAGGAGTGGCAGCCTGAGTCCACCCAGGATGGTGTGGCCCTGAGGGACCTTACCGTAGCCTGAGGTATGGATGAGGAAAAGGCAGATACTTCTTAAGGCCCAAGTTTAAAGAGGCAAATGGGCCATCTATGTGTAAGCCATCCTTCCTGCTTTGTCTTTCAAAAAGATGACACCCTAAGGCCCTACCTCCAGCAAAGGACAGGAAGAGAGCCAGCAACAGGGCAGACTGAACCAAGTCAAGGCAATGAGAAAGGAAGTGACAGACGTAAACACCAGAGATCAGACCTGGGCCTCCACCGGCAGATGGTCTCGCCGCCCGCCTGCCAGTGAGGTCCTGTGACGTGGACACTCTAGAAAGGACATTCCCAGTGCCATGGGCAGAGCCTGGGGGCAGGCAGGCCAGCCTTGGGGCGAGGTCACAGCGTGGCTCCCTGAGGACTCCGGACTCCGGGTGGCCCAATGCGTACCTGTGATCCCTGGGAGGACACCCAGGTGCCCTCCCTCTCACTGCACTCGCAGGCCACCTGTTCTGTGCCCAGATGACCTCAGGTTGCACACCGGACCTCAGAGGCGCTCACAGCTCCTCCTGCATCTCTCACTGACCGTGCCCTCTCTCCACACCCACTCACTCCGCTCTCTTCCCTTCTCTGACCAACTCCCCTGGAACTATTCTTGACTTGCTCACCAACGCCCTCCAGATTGTCAAACCCAGCTGTGAACCACTGCTGATTTTACTTCCGTCAGTACCATTTGGCATGATGGCTCATTGCTTCCCCCTTAAACATTTTCTGCAGTCCCATTCAGGATTCCCAACACTTTCTGGAACCCTCTCTTCTATTTGTGTCTCTTGCAGAGTTAGCTTATATGGCTTTGTTCACTGAAACACCTGAATAAGGTCCACCACACACAGGGCCGGCTCCTATCAGTGAATACCTGAGACCCTGGGGTGGTCACGCACTGCTGGCAGGGAAAGTGAAGAATGCCTATTCCTGACCACGTGCAGCGCTCGGCAGCAAGTGAGGACACCGCCCTGACCCATGTGACTGTCTAGCAAACACCAGCACCTGAGTAAAGACAGCACCACACAGAACTTTACAAGGAAACGATGTTACCCATGACTGGTATAAAAAGTCAACCGAGAAGCCTCCCATGAGAACCACAAGCCATGCTAGCAGAGCAGGGAGCAGACAAGGGAGGGGGAGGATGGCCACTCACCTCAAGAGGTGGCTGGGCCTCACCACCAGGTCACTCGGATGGAACAAGACCTAAGCAGATCTATGTTGTAATTACATGGAAGCACAGAGACACCTTTGTCCATGCCACAGAACACCCTGCTACCGTGAGTGACCACCACTCCACCAGCTGCCTGGGCCACTGCGCCTCCTGTAGAGACGAGGTTGCGGAAAACCCAGGCCCAGGAGCCCCCACTTTCTGATGGCACCCAGTTCACATGAGCCCTGCTTGCCCCACGTTCTGCAAACTGCCCTTGCCCCTGCCCAAGCTCAGGTTTCTTCCTGATCTGCTCTGTCCTCTGCCTGGAAGGACTGAGCTCGCCTATGCCCTACAGGGGTGTGAGCGGCCTGTGGTGTGCGGTGGTCTTCAGCTGACAACTTTGTGTTGACAAGAAATTAAGACAAGTCAGGGGAGGATGGGATTGGTCACCCGTGGGGGGAGCAGCAAGCCAGAGAGAACAAGCTTGTAAAAGCCTGGGGGACAGGAGGGACACAGCTGCTGCTGCTGAGAGGGAGGGAAGGGGGGGGATATGAGAGACTCCGAGTGAGGAGACGGCTGCAGTCTTGGAGGCTTTGTATCACCTCCACCTGTCTGGAGGGACGCATTTCATCGGACAGAGTAAACACAGACAGAAGAAGATGCTAGTCTACGGCCATGTGGAAGAGGATGAGTACAGGAGAAGAAGCAGGAGGTCAGGGTACAGGATGGATGAGGGAAGGGCTGGTGTCAGTGACGGTGTCATGGCACAGGCTGGGGAGGAGCTTTGAGCTCTGAGGTGGAGGACGAGGGAGAGCAGTGTGGACCCAGGAGGTCTGGCTTCTTGGGTACTGACTGTTGTTCCTGCCTCATTGCTAGCTTCCATCTGGGGATCCGCCCTCCCCAAACCTCTGCCCGTGGGGTCTGGAATGGGCCAAGCCCTGCTGCAGGACAGAATTCCAGGCTCCTGGATGCAGGTGGTGTCACATTCCTGTCATGCAGTCCTAGACTGCTGAGTGCCTGCTGGATCCAGCTCAGCTCCGGGTTCCAGGAACCCAGCAGGGAGCTGGATCCTTCTTGAAGAGTGCACATTATATCATGTATTCTGTCACCAGATAAGTGGGGAAAACCTTCTTGGCCAGGCATCTGAGGGCACAGCTGGGTAGGGGACAGGAAGGAAGGCCTTGCCAGGAGGTGGGGCTCCAGGAAGCCCAGGGAGGCCCAGGCGCACCAGCATGATGGAAAATCCAGCAGGGGAAGAATAGCAGGGGCCAGAATAGCAGGGGAAGGGGGTCAGACCAGAAGCTCCAGGCAGACGAACCCCAGATGCTTGCAGGTACAGCTGGACAAGGGTGATGGGAGCCCAGAGGAGCCCTAGAGCCACCAGTAAGAAAGGGACGGCCCTTCCCGGCAGAGGAAAGTTAGATCAGAGCCCCAGACACCAACCCAGTGAGGTCCCTGGCCCCAAGACTTCTACCTGTGGAAGCCTTGCGTCAGTGGGAGGCTGGTTAAAGCACACGTTGCCACCGACAAGAAGCAGGTGCCAGGACAGGCAGGGAGACCAAAGCCCCAGGGGAGCAGGCAGCCTCCTCACCTCAATGATCTCCAGCATCTCCACCCGGGTGATCTTGCCGTCGCCGTCCAGGTCGTACATGTTGAAGGCCCAGTTGAGCTTCTGCTCAAAGCTGCCCCGGGACGTGATGGACAGGGCACAGATGAACTCTCGGAAGTCAATGGTACCATCGCCGTTCTTGTCAAAGGTGCGGAAGGCGTGCTGTGCAAACTTAGAAGCATCTCCATAGGGGAAGAACTGTGGGGCAGAGCAGAGTGAGAGGTGGAGGTGAGGCCCCGTGCCAGCCAGCACCCTCACACACAGGACAGGCGGGTGCTGGGGTCCTGAGGTGGGGCAGTCACAGAGTGTCTGGGTGGATGAGGGGCTGTGGATAGGGTTCTGTCTGGCCTGGTCCCTTCTTCTCTGGTTCCAGTTCCCTGCTTTGTGTGAAGTAAGCAGTTTTGCTCCCCCAGACCCTTCCACTATGATGTTCCCACCTTGCAGTCTGCTGACCATGGACGGAATTTCCTGAACCATGAACCAAACCTCTCCACTTTAACATTGTGCAGCCACCTACTGAAAGCTGAGGCAGGTACCGCCTTTATTCTGGGTAAGCTGGAGACCTGTGACTTGGGGGCTGGTGGGGCCTGCATTCGGTCAATAAGCACCCCGTTGCTGTCTCGTGCCTGGTTTGCAGCTCACTGTCCATCTCCCCAAGGGCAAGACTGAAGCAGGAAGCAAGCCAAGCACACGGTACCAACTCTCAACTCCTCTGGGCGTGGAGTCCAGATTCACCACCTGCAGGGCTGGCAGGTCACCCAGACTCTGTTCCTTCCCCCACCCTCTCCCAGCCCAGCCCACACTCATCCCCTGCCCAAATTCTGCTTCTGACTTCTCTTTACAGGGACTTTTCTCTTATAGAACAGACATTTAAAAACTCATTAAAAATAGAACATGACTGAGCTTATTTTCCAGAGACATAAAGAGACTTCGTCACAGAACCAGCAGTCATCAAGGGTGCGTGGGCGGCAGAATGGACTGAGGAGATGGTGGCAGATACTGTGGGGAGGTAAGACCTTGGGGCCAGTCCCTGTGGCCTTGGACAGGACCTAGGCCTGGCCCAGGAGTAAGCAGTTCTGGACACTAGGGAGCAGATGATCCTTAAGGCCACCCAGACAAAACAAACAAATGGCGTGCTGCTCACAGTGGAGCAGGCATGCATGTGTTTCAGGAGAGGTAAAGGCACCTGCAAGGTTTTCAGCAGACTCTGCAGCTGCTTGCTGGGGCCTGGTCCTTTGCAGAGTCTTGCTGCTGGCCAAAGGCATGGGCTGCCCATCTCTGCTTGGCTTGGTGCCATCTGTGTTCCTGCTGGGCCGTTGGTATCTTTCAGCCCCAGCATCCTGCTCCCACCTCTCCCATTCCAAGAAGCCCAGTGGAAGGGAAAGATTCCCCAAGAAGTAAAACGCATCCTTCCACAGGAGGGCATGAGGCCTCAGCTCCAGAGAGCAGGAAGGCCACCCTGTCACTGCTAGACTCTGAGGTCCGGCCCAGGTTGTAGCACTGGGCAGTGGATCATCCTGATACCTAATGACCCAAAAAAGCAGCCATGATTTTATTGTCTCAGAAAATAAACACCAGAGAGCCCCACTCTTCTTCCTGTGGCCCTGAAAGCATGATTGTCCCAGAGGTTCCATCTCAGCAGCCTCAGATGTCAGTTCTCGGGATCCTCAGCAGACACCAGGTCCCTGCCTCACATGGTGAGAACACAGGGATGGACATCTCAAAGCACCCGTGCTCCTGGACCCTGCAGTCTGTGTGGGAACTGAGCTGGATGCTTGCTGTGGCCTTGTTACCGGTGAGAGCTGGCACACAAGCATAAAGCTCAGAAGATGCAGGGTGGCCAGGCAGGGGCTCTGGAAGGAGAAGGTTTACCCAGGGGCCAGGGCCAGGGCCAGGGCCAAGCTGCAGGTGAGAGTGTGGAATTGAATGATTTTGCACTTGAAAATTTCTAGTTGGGCAGATCTGCTCTGCTAGGCCCTGTGGATGAAAGTCCTTGTTCTTTCTAGGAGGGCACTCTTTGTGGTGTGCCCACTGGCCACCTGGGCAGGGCTCCAGGAGGAGCTGGGACCTGAGAGCTGATGTCAGAGTCGTGATCAGGCCTGGGCAAACTCCCTAGTCTGCACCAGCTTGTGGCAGGCAGGGATGCGAGGCCAGGGCACTTTTCTTCCTTCCTGCTGGTTTCTGGCAGTGGAATGCACCCCCTTTCTTCTCACAGCATGCTCTTAAGTTAAGGGCTATTTGACAGCTTTACCTAAAAATAGCCGGGCATCTTAAGTCAGCGTATAAAAAATTAATTTCAGCTTGAAGATTCTTGAGAGAGAAATCAATTGCAAATTCTGAGCTATGAAAATTGCAGGTACCTGCAGCAGTTTACTGACTTCCATGGAGTGCATGTTTACCTGGAGGGGCTGGCCCCCAAGAGTCAGCCAGTGTCCTCTTGTAGAAGGAAGCCACCCAAATCTGGACAGATCGTCATGGACAAATGAAACCACTTCCCTTCAGTCTCTAGGAAGAAATCAGGATCTTGAACCCTATTCATTTCTCTTGGAAGACAACAAGGCCTGGAAGCACACGTGCTTTTCATAGACGGAAGGTGACATTCTGTTTTACTTTTAAAACCCAATATATTTTCCTCTAACTCCTGTGCTAAAGGCTGACACAGAAGTAATGTCTAGCTGTAGTGACAGCTATAAACATTTTAACGACCTGGACAGCAAGCATGTTCAGGTTGGACAGTCATAAATCCCTGCATATGAAATACAAGCACGTTCCTGCCAGAGGACCGGACATCGTGAACTGCGTCCTGTGGGTGATCGGGCTCCCGGCACGGGACCCAGTTCTGTCTGGTCACTTCTGCTGCACCTCAACCAAGTGCTCACTGAGGAAATAAACCTACGTTCACGGTGGATGAAGCATTATGTAATTCTTGGCTTCCATGGCCTCTAAAGGAGCACTTCTCCGCTGCGTTTATTGCCCCCTTCCGGCAGCATCCTGCACTGCAGGGAAATTGCTAATGTGCTAGGGGATATTTTTTAGAGAACTCATCTATTGTTTGACTCAGCACACATTTGTTGAACAGCTACTAGCCAGGCACTGTGGTAAGTGCTGGTAATGAAAATAGAAATCATAGAGCAATGGGAACAGTGATGGAAATAGATGTTAATCAACCCACCACAGGAATCCATGTAAAATTCCCCTATGATAGCATAGACCCGCGAGGAAGAGGAACGGGTATGATATTACAAGTTTGCAACTTAAACTTCCCATGTGTCCCAGCCCCACCCTCACACACAGATCGCTGACATCACAGCTGAGCATGCGCTGTGAAATCATTGTGGGCACGCGAATCTGCACTGCCTCCAACCGCGCTCCACACTCCAATGTCCGAATGCAGCCACCGGCCAGCAGGCAGGGGCAGCAGACGCCAGCCCGAGCCCCTGCTCCTGCCTCTGGCAGGCAGGGGCTTCTTTGCAGCTCAGATGCAGGAGCTTCTCCTGCAGAGGTGGGGTCCTCGAGCCTGTCTTTCCAGCAGCCTTGATGTGTCCCAAGAGGTGAGACACAGATACTGACTTGGCCTTTCTTCCACCAGGGCCACATGGCCTGACACTGGGGCTGTGGTGACAGATAAGGTGTGGTCTCCAAACACCAGGTTTCTAACCCCGAGGCCACCTGAGTCCTCCGGGTACTAATTCTCAGGGAACATGGCAGCATCCTGGAAAATCTTTTCTCCCTCCAATATCCCTGGTGTTCTGAAAGCCTCGTATACCGGGGATGAAACTCAGCCCACCCTGTGGGTGCTAGGGGCCCATCTTCGGCACGGCTGTGAGTCCACAGGGAGGTCGGTCTCCTTCCATGCCCTGCTTCAGGCCAGGAAGAGAGCTTGTGATTGGACTGGTGGAGGAGGCTCTTCCGGCTGCCTGCCCTTCTCGGAGGCTCCTATGTCCAGTGCCTGCAGGATGTGGCAGGGTTTCAGATTCCCTCCTACGGCCTGCTCTGGTCTCTTTTCTTCTTCGATGTTTTGAGACCCATGAACACAGCACAACCCCTTCCCCAAGGGCAGGGCTTTTGCATGGTTATCCTGGGCCAGGCTTCCCTGGCAGCCAGGTGGTGACTGCCCTGGTGATGGACACTGCTGCATGAGTGACACTCACAACAGCAAGCCGCCTACATTGGTCCTCTTCATGTGCAACCTCAGTGGAGCTTCCCCAGCTTGTCTTGCTGGAGGCATCATCTGGGGTTAGGTATCTACCTTGAGGGCAACTACTGAGGAACCAGCAGGGCCTGCATCCTAGTCCCGGCTCTCACAGCCTCGCTGCCTGCCCATTGCAGCTTGCCTGTCCTGCACACAGGCCCTGGACTTTCTTTCTCTCCTTGAGCTCCCTCAGCCTGCCGTGCCTCCTGGACTCCTGGAAGGGCCTGTGGTTTTCACACCTGGGAGTCCTCTCTCTGCTTTCAACTCACTGGGCTTGCTCACCTCCCGGGGAAGCCCTGGCAGCCAGGGGCTCTCTGGATGGTCCCTCCCACCTGCTTGCCTGGAGCCAGTGCCCTCTGCTTTGGTGTGGCCTCCACAGCAGCCCAGGTGCAGTGTCTCAGCGCAGCACACATTGTGCTGTGTGCCCTGCAGGCTGAGGAAGGGCCAGATGCCTCTGGAGCCTTGCAGGCCCTGGAACACAATGTGTGTACTGTCCTTGGCCCCTCGCCTCTGCTCCGAGGCTTCTGCCTGGCTGCCACTGCTATCAGAAATGTTCATTTTCTGCCTGCTGCCCCATTAAGTCATTCATTCTCTGGGCTGTAGTTCAGCCCTCACTTTCTCAGGAAATCCTTTTTGGAGCCGAGGTCAGACCTGTTTGTTATGCAGCAGGTCCCCCCTCACAGCACTGTCAAAATAGAGAAGGCACTAGATCCTTGGACTGCTACTCTACTAGCTGACTGGTGGCAGCGGGTGGCAACAGCTGGATTTCAACACAGCAGGTGCTCAGGAAGTGTCCACCGAAAACGTGACTTGGCGTGGAGGCTCTGCTTCCTGCCAGCAGAGCGGTGCCAAGAGGCCAGAGGACAGGGGACCTCTGAGTCCGCCCTAACGATCCAGGCTGACTAAGGAGGGCTCCTGCTTGCTCCTCACTGCATTAGCATGATTCACGGTGGCCCATGAGTCAGTTACAGAGCATGGGCGCGGGTGGGCCTGTGGCTGGGGAAAG